TCATTTGAATTACTATCACTTGTTTGTCCCTAAATAAAATACATCGAAATTTATAAAAAAAAAAAAACAATCCACTTCAGGTCCTCGTCGAAATAATTCAGTAACACCACCAACACATAATAAATCTTTTTCAAGTTGAATATTTAATTGTTTTAATTCATTATTTGCATTTTCAAAATCTCGACAACGTTTATCAAGTTCATGAAATCGTTCTAAATAAATGAAAAACATTCTTTTTATTTTCCACACATACGAAGAAAAATTTGAGGGTATAAAAAAAAAAATCTTATTATCACCATATACGATATTCTTCTTTCTTTCTTTCTTTCTTTTCTCTCTCTGTCCTTGAACCTGAAATAAATAAATTCAAAGCATATTCAATATTATACAAAAAAGACAAATAGAAAAATTTTATTAATATTTGAATAAAAAAAGAAATCATAATTCACAAATATTAAACTTCTTTCGCAAAATTTTTTTTTGTTAAATACAATAAAAACGGTGGAATATTCGTAAATCATTTGATATTTCGTATTTTTTTGTTAGATGTATATACTGTATTCTTTCTCATTTATTGCACGCGCACACAACATCGAAATATAAACAAAAATTATAATCTATTCAGATAAAAAACAAAAAAAAACGAAGAAAAGAAAACGAAACAACCATATATCACGCCATTCTCTTTGTTTGTATTTTTTTAAATGCACTTGTTAAAGCAGTTGGGTTTGTACACGACTAGTTTTAATACTTGAGCGATACTCACAAATATATATATATATATATATAATAGAACAAAACGAACAATAACAACAACAAAAAATGTTGAGCATTAAAAAGAAAAAAGAAAAAGAAAATTACAAAATCACCAATTGGTTTTTTTTTCTAATATCACCTTGGCTAAATAAAAATACATTTTTTTTGTTAAGTATTAGTAGCAACAGAATTTGTTGATTCATTCGTTGTTTGATTTGATAGTATTGTGTCATTATAATTATCATTCTCAGTTATTAATTTATTATGTAGTTTTTTCGTAGTAATAATTTTTTGTGGAATAGATTTTCGTTTTTTACTACTTGAACTAAATGTAGATATCGAAAGAGTAGGCTTTTGTTCGTCGATTAAAGAGATAATATTTGTTAATGATGTTGCTAAACTAACTGGACTAGTCGAAGTATCTGAATCATTTGTCGTATTAAACCATGAATTATTTAAGGGTACAATTGCTGGTAAAGTATTATCTTCATCATCATCGTCATCATTATTATCAGTTAAAGGCGTCGAAGATATTTTATTTATATCTTTCATATACGTATTAGGTTTAGTTCTCATTCGGGCATTATGAAACCAATTCGATATTTTGTTCATTGGCAAGGATAATTCATCAACGAGTTGTTCTAAT